TCACCTTTATTTTCACTTATAAGCAAATAATTTTGGGAACGACAGAGACTGACACAGGAGGAGAGAGAGGGAGAGGAAGGAGAGACAAAGACAAGAGGTGTTATGGTTTGCCCTGAGGGCCACTTTGACTCTTTATGTTTGGACATTAGTTCCATTTCCTGTTTTATTTTGAAGATGACTTCCTTGTGTATCTAATGTTAATCTTATTTCCTGTCTTTGCTCCTTGTTGATTGTCTGCCCCGCCCTCATGTGTTACACCTGTGTTCAATCACCCTTGCCTCCATTTTGTATTTAAGTCTCTGTCTTCGTCTTTGTCAGGTGGTCTGTTTCTGTTTCGCTGTGTTTCCTGAGTGTGTCCTTGAGCTTCCGTTTTGTGTTACTGGTTTCTAGATGATTTCTTAGTTCCATTTTGCCAGTTTTGTGAGGTGGTTTTCTTTATTAAAACCCTTTTTTCCCCATTTACACCCATTTTGTTTGTCTGCATTTTGGGTCCTTAGTTTCTCATACCTGACAAGAGGGATGAGCATTGAAGAGGGGAGAAAAACAGATTGCAGAGAAAGAAGATGACAGAAAGGTGGGGGGAAATGAAAATGGAGAGAAAAGATCAGATAAAACTGAACACCTGCACCCCAGTTTCCACCTTTCATAATATACTGTTTATTTCACATAATATTTCTGAATGTAAAGAAATGAGAACAGTGTGACAGTAGGCTGATAGGAAGCAGCCTACTGTCAAAACTAAGGGAATCAAACTAAGCATGGCGGCTCTGTCAAGCTGTGGATTTCTTTATACGCCATCAACTCAGCCAAACTCATCAGTTAGTCCTCATCCCCAAAATCTAAATCCCCAAAACTTCCCCATAAATCTAACCCCTGTTGTTTCTCCAAGTATGTTTTCCTTTAGTAAAATTAGCATCCAAAGGGTTTATAACAAAATAACTACACGCACACTTCTTCATTTTCCTTTTCATACGAAAAGCAGAACGAATGCTGCACTATAAGAATAGAACCAACCAGCTCTACTTGCAAATACAAGAACAATGCTCCTCCCTCATTCGTCTTCAGACTTTCACCATCAAAGGAGCAGAGAAAGAGCACGGAGGTCCTATCTGAGCAGCGTGCGGCAACCCCACATTAGCGCCTCTGCAGAGGACTTCACAGTTACTACAACATCAGTGCAGAGCAGCGGATTACAGCTTCCCACAAGCACCCTTTATGCACTACCAGGATAGAAGTTTGACGTCGAGGATTGAGCAAGGTGGAAGTGGAGAGCACAAGAAGCTGCTGAATATCAGCTGAGGCATAGGACTGTTGAGTCAAAGCTGGTTTCACTGTCTACAACGAGACCTGGGGTGAGGATATTAGTTGGCAACTAGATCAGAAGGAGGTGAGGGCAGCACACCACTCGGATGATAAGGTTCAGTAAGTGTGTATTTATGTGATATGGTTGGCAGCAATTCATTCGACCCAGGACAATTTTTTGTCACGGGAGTAAATTAAGCTTATCCATAATTATGTAGCAGCAAGGAGAGTGGACAAGGTGGGAAAGTGCAGTGGAACGTGCTGCTCATTAAATTCAGTGAGTCGGTGCGTGTGAAACATGCCACACACTCACACTTTCAACCTCCACGTTTGAAGCAAGAGTTTAGTACAAACACACCTTCTCTGCTGCAGCTGAAGAGTCTCTGAACAGCCTGTAGGTCCTGGAGGAAGGCTGTTATCACTGGCGCCTAACAGCTGACATTGCAGTGGAGCCTCGGTATGCTCGATATAAACTAGTTTGCAGTAAGTGTTGTCCAACCAAGTCAGAAGTAAGAGTTATTTATAGTTACTCTGAACAGCCGCACTTGAAAGCAGACAAAAAGACACTCGTCATAGAGAGGCGATTATAGTTTAAACATGGAGCTTAAACTTTCACACAATGTCTCCTAGAGGGCATTTTGTCCACATATATTTAAAAAAATGGTTGTGTAAAGAATGAAAAACGATCCTGAGAGAAAATTCCAAACCCGTCTTTATTTTCTCCCCCAGTTCTGACACTGGAAAGATGTGGGGCAGGGAGGTTTCAGACGCTACTCAACTATCTGACAAGCACTATGACTGGAGCACACTGACACCTTTAGCCATCAAATACTTCCACCGAGGGAGAAGGAGAGTCATCAGGTCCAAAGCCTCCAGATGGACCAGCAGGGGTTCAAAGTGTTCAAAGTGTTCTCCGTTTTTTCCGTTCCATTACTCAGATGTATGTCTTCGTGTACTCTGAAATAAAAACACAGAACTAATTAATAATAAAGAGAAAAAAGGAATCATGGAACCTTAAATCCTGAATTGAAGCTTCATTTTTGATCGGCTGAACTCACTTGTGGCGTCTTTCTTTCTCCATATTGTTCAGAAAGTTTGTCCCAACACTGTTGCAGAAGTTCCTACAAATATTTGCTTTGCCTTCACCTCCTGTCCATTTCATCCCAAAACCAGCTCCATGGGGTTTAAGTCTGGAGTCTGTGCTGCTCTTCCATCATGTGAGGCCACCATCTGCCTTTGTTCCTCTAAAGCTTTGGCTCATTAACTTGCTGTAGGATGAAACCCTGACTGACCAGTCTGTCTTCCTTTGTTACTTGCCTTTTGCAACAACATACAGCACCGCTGCCTGCGGTACAGTATTGTCCTACTAATACATCAGAGGGTGCAGTAACAGTAATAGTAATAGTTTGTTGCAACACTGCCTTTGCACAGACAGAGAGTTTGTACGTGATCAAAGGTTGTGGTACCTGTAGGAATTGTTTGTGTTAACTTAATTTACTTCCACTGCTGCAGGACAGCTGTAAGTGAATCAATTTCTTAATCCATGAAAAAGCATGAAAACCCCATTTTCTATGAGATGTACATGTTCTTATAGTTTTTGGTGACCTGAACATTTTTGTTTCCCCTGGGAAGTTTACCACTTATCTTTATAGCATTTACAGTTATACACTGGACTGAACTGCTTAAATTTCATTTTATGATGGAGTAATAATTGCTGCCAAGATCCTTTTGACCTTATTCACTACATCAGCAGTTCCTGTCCTGTTCTCTCTTAAATACTGACTGAGAGTTTTTTTTTTTCTTTTTTTGGCACTTCCCACGACTGAAGTGAGCCTCTCCCATCTCATCTCATTTCAGGTGAGAAAAAAATCATCTCAGAGTCTAATGTCATGACAGAAACAGGGTATCAAAGTGGTGGCACACTCCCAAAGTGGTTCTATAAAACTGATCACATTTATCTTGTTTTCTGCAGTGGGAATAAAGGGATGATGCATCATTGTATGGAACTGCTTACATGTATATATTAGCATAAGGGTCATTTAAAATCAGATTTTAGTGAAAACTCTAAGACGCTCACAGCTTGTAGTAAAAGGCAGTGGCCCTGTGTATGTGTACTTGTTACATATGGTGTGCATGTGGTTTAGAGAGTGGAAAGGAGGCTGGCAGAGGAAGTGCTGGATTCAGATGACTTAACAGGAGAAATGAGGTGGGTTTCTGAACTTAAAGTCAGTTCAGTCCGTACAAACGGTCTCCTGGTATGACCGATGGTCCTGAGGGACTCAGAGACATGAAAACATTTCAGAATTCCAAATGTTACTTCTGACCTTTAGACTGATTGGCTGTCACCAGCTTGGCCTGAACATCTCTCTACCTCCCACTGAAAATTTAAACTCAATTATTTGTGAAGAATGTGAGACTCAGTGTGGTGCCTTTGATGAACTACTGGCACCCTAATCACCCTCACAATGTGCACGGAGGTGATAGATTTAATTCACCAAAGATCAATGAATATGCTGATGAGTTAGAGAAGCCTCTGCAAAGATGAGGTTTGAGCAGTGAATGATGACTCACTCCTTTCTTTGCCCGCTTACTCCTGCTCATTGTGATGTACGAATGAATGGATGCAATCCCAGCATGCATCAGAGATACACAGCCCTTCCATTGCAGGGCTGTCTGTGATAACATGATATTCTATATTGATCCCAGTAGGGAAATTCTCCTTTTTTCCCTCAGAGGTCAGGGTCAGCCACTGAACAGTCGTGCCTTGCTCAAGGAGATGTAATAAGTGTGGATGTTTGCACAGAAAGAGGATAACATTGGTTGAAGGACTCCAGGAATTGATTAAATGTAACCTGATGACTGATGTGATTTATAGCTAGCTTGTGCTTTTCTCCGTGACACATATAATGGAGTGTGCACAGCAAATGAGGTTGCACACAACCTGAAATTTGAAGCAATTCACCACGGCTTTGTAACTGTATCTCTGTCCCTGACTGAGTAAATTAACAGGACCTGAAACTATACTGTAACAATAAATGAGAACACAAAGCTGGTAATGTCAGGAGAAAAAACAGTTGTGCTGATGATCACTGAGGTGATCTAACACATGGCCAGCTTTGTAAGCCTATTTGTGAATGCATCAGTAATGTCATGAGAGTGCCAAATATATCCAACAAGTGGTGAGGACAACTGATGCAACTTGAAGCAAGAGCAGGGATTAGCTGTGCACTGAGTCTGGAAGTTATGCTTTACAAATACTCTTAGTAACCATACACTTGAACTTTTAAAAAGCATGTTTTTCCTTTGTTTAAGTATGTTTTGATTTATGTCAAGGATATTTGAATAGCCCGTTTTACATTCGGGTTACATTAAGGGAAGAGCAACAAGAATTGAATACTGTTAACAAGCCTCAGTATTCTTATTCATAGTCTGTTTTGTTTTTCTTTAACCTATTATTTTGTTTCCATGGTCACCCAGTTTCTTTAGAGGGATGTTTATAGTTTTATGCTGTTTAATTACTACCCAAGTTCCACGTCTGTCTTAATATCACATTACAAATGATAGTGTCAATAAAACACAATATTGACATAAAATAATGACACAAATGCAATGTATAAATCCACCTCAATCCCACTACATGAGGTTGTGTGCACTGCACCTTTAAGAATGTAGTCAAAACAAAGCGTGGACTGGCCAGCCGCACGGAAGTGGTTTTGTTTCGATGGCTACCCACAATAATATGTGAGAAATGAGAGCTGCTATATATTTAAGATTTAGTTAGCTCACATAAAAGGGTTTATCATTTCATTAGTAGTAGTTTATTATTCCTTAATATTATTTTGATATCGTCTGAACTAAACGAAGGATAGCTAGCTTGTTAGCTAGCTTCATTAACGCAAGCAGACATGCCGTCCTACTCTGATTTGAGGAAAACCAACCACTTCTACTACTTCATCAAATTCACCTTAAATATCTACTCAATGCTCTTCTCGGTAAGTTTCTGGTCTATTGATTTACATCAGCATTGCATGCGCCATAGTAAGTGAGTTCGAGTCGCAACAGTGTGCTAATTGTAGTAGTAGGACACGAACCACCCAATAGCATGATTGAGACTTCTCTCCAAACTTCATTCAAAACAAATGCGTTTAAATGTACCATCTCCCCAAGGCACATACACACTATGTAGAAAATAACCTCAGGTATATTACACATCTGTACCATCTACTGAACAATTCGGCAGTCATCCCAAACAACCACCCCGATTCTTTTGATTACAATTTCAATTTAAATCATTGATTCACCTCAAACTCCAGCGAACTTCCACCTACATAGCTTGACAGCTTGTGACGGGGTTTACTTGTGATTTTATTTACATCAAACACCGTGTGTTGGATAAAAAACATACCGTATTTACTAGAAGAGTATATTGATTAAAAACAAGTCAAAAATCATGATTACAACTTTGTGCATGTGTGGTTGAGCCATTGAATAATTAGTTGCTATATCTTTAATGGAATTTGGTGTGGAATTCTCGGGATACTAGCTAGCTTGTGAATGGTTAGCTTACAACTGTAGACATTACCACTTCCGACAACATGCATCCTCCTAAATTTTAATCTGCTCATAATACAAGAATTGTGGGCAATCTGTTAATAGATCAATATACTGAGACATTAATAATTGCATTTGATTTTGAGACAATACACAGCGATCACCGGCTAACAAACAGCACGGTGGTGCAGGGCGTTGGATCGAGTTAAAGGGATGATAATGTTGGTAAATAGTTTTGCCGACAGATAATATGAGCAAACTGAAAGCCTCCTTTGTTCGTCATTCAACAAATTCAGGTTTATATTTTGATTAAAATCAGTTATATATTGACATAAAATTAAATATCCCCAGTTCATGTAGTTATCAGTTTGATCTTAAATGTTATCTTAAACATGTTGACAGATAAAGTTTTCTTGTATCTGGTCCTGGCATGTTCAGAGCTTTCTGGTTCATTTGAAATAAAGTGAACAGAAATTTATTTCTGGAAAGTTTCACTGTCCACCACTGTTCTCACTGTTTAATCTGATAGTGAGTTTAAACTGCTGCAGGTGAACACATTTAAATTTAATTCAAATAAACAAAGGTGTCTCAATGCCATTTGGAATGTGATGGCCAAGGAGAAGCACAGATCCAATCAAGGATAAAGATGAGCTTGGTGTTTAAATGAATTAATTTAGTTAATTAATGTAAACTTTGGTTGTGGCAGCTCAATAAATGATCTAATTTCTGTCGTGAACTGTGGTCATGTTTTAGTTTGTTGAAATGGCTGGGGTTCATTTTGGATCCAGCAGCCACTTTAAATGCTGGACGGGTAAGTGAGTTTCTTGCCAGACCAATAAAAAGTAAAGATGAGTCATCTTAAGCCTTCATCACCCCACTTCCAAACCACTATGTTATGTCTGGTTTTATACTTCATCCATCTCACTCCACTCAATCTCTACAGTACCCCTTCAGTAATATTGTCAGAATAATTTGAACCACCACCAATCTGTTTTTATTATTATTATTATTGTTATTATTATTATTATTAATCTTATAGCAAATTATTGAATATGACTCAGCAGTATGAGTCCATTAGCACTCCAGAATCCCTTTCATATGTTCTCCCCTTTACTATCTCTCCCTCTCTTTACTGTTGTAGACAGAAGCTCCTGCAGAGCTAAGCTAATAGCTTTACACTTAAGTAAATTTGTCTTTGCTATTGTAATGTTTGGTTAATGCAATTTCAGTATGACTCTTATGACACGAATAAAGCTGCGGGTGTCCAGTGAGAACTACTCCGCATCATCCAGTGTAATGTGAATGGGTCTGCTTGATTTTCATTCTTCTTAAGAAGGAACAACAACTAATCAGTAGTTACTGTAGAGCAGGTCTCGCTTTTACTTGGACCCCTGTGACTTTGCACAGTGTCACTGTTCAGCCATCAGAACATCATTGGGATCCAGCTGACCCTTAGATTGCAAGGCATGCTGTCCTTCCAATGTCCTGTGATGACTCATACAATGCTAACAATTCTTGTGTTTTTCAGGATTATGTTAGATCCCTGTCCACACAGTCTGTTCGTCATTCTTATCTTCATCACTGCAGCAGTGAAGGTAGAAAGGGCAACTTCAGAAGTGGGAATCAAGCCAGAGTTATGTGCCAGTGCTTTATGGAGGGTTGAGAGCAGTAAATGGAGTTGAAGTAGATGTACCCAACTCTTCAGATAGATTGCTTCCTTTTCCAATCGAAAATCAATAGTAGGGAAATAAACACTGTTTATTTCTTCTCTTTTTGTAGCTCTTGCATGAACTAAATATAAAAAGGGGTTGTGACACAGTATCTGGCTAATCTGTCAACATGTGCCCTAAAGATATTTTACAGTTTTCAGTGAGCACAAAGGGTTAGACTTAATTAGACTTTTTAATGTAATACACTTGACACATGACAGTGATTCACTGTGAGGCACTGTTTTTCACCACACTTAGCAGTTAGATGCAGTGGTAGAAAGTTACTAAGTACATTTACCCAAGTACTATATGTTTGTACTTTACTTAACTATAATACTGTTTTCTGTGCAACACAAGCTGCGAAATTATCAAAAGTAAATGCGTAGTTTACACATCATGTTAACTGTCTGGCATATCATTTGGTTAATTCTGACATCTTTTACAAAGCTACATCACAGCAATTTTTTGAGTGACAACAAGAGGCAAACAGAAGAGAGCAAAGAGAATACAAAAGTTCGAGATGAACTGAACTTGCTTGTGAATTTGATGCCACACAGGTTGGGAACATTTTGACAACAGACACTTCTTCTGTTACTGCCTGGGACTGGCGAAACTGTTTAGCAAGAAGGCTGCTCTGTTATTAGATTTATTGTGGCAAAGAAAATCAGTATTTCAAATGGTTTTTTTTTTTCTTTAGTTTTGAAGTTGTATTTATTTGTAATCAAAAAATTGATCTGCTTGGCAGTAGGAGTTGATTGATGGGCTGGAGTTGAATAGGCCTGCTCTATGCCATTTATTACAAATACAACTCAGAGAGCTATTGTACATACTCCACTACATTTATTTGACAACTGCAGTTCTGGTTATTTTACCAATTTAAGATTTTAAATTTAAAAAATGTGATAAGCAATACAACACAGTGTTAAAAATGAAACCTGTATTTCCCAACGTTCTTGTCTTGTTCCACCAAAGTACAATTTTCTCTCTAAACATTACAGATACTTTTGTTGAATTAACTGTTCAAGATCCAAAGAGTTAAAATGACCCAATATTTCACTAAAAAGACAAAGAATCAGCGAAAATCCAAAAAACAACATTTTGTGCAGCAGAACTTTTCTAACCTATTAATCATCTGTAGACCCCCCCACCACCACCACCACCAATGTTTTCCTGTGACCCTTTGGATGTGGTAGATACACTAAACCAAAGTACCTAACAGTGTATTTAAAGTGGTGAAAATAGCTTCAACTCAACCTGTTGCAACAGAAAAATGTAACACAACTTGAATCACTTTGAGCAATCTAATATATAATATCGAAACACTCAAGTGCCATTTTCCTGTTGAACAAGTATTTTTATGTTTGAGTATTAAGGTACATTGTGTTGAAAAAAACAATTTCTATGTTGTAGATGTAGAAGATCAGAGTATTTCTTCCACCACTAGCTGGATGTCAAAGTGTAAAGCAAGGCTGTGCACTGGCTGCACTGTGGAGCTCAGTCTGATTTGTGATGGTGCAGCCCACCACGTTTTAGCCCCATTTTTCTATTTTGTGTGCCCCTAGTCATCCTTTCACATTTTGTAGCCTTTATCCAACATGATGTGAGTATTCAGGGCAGGCTCAGCATATCCTGGGGTTTGTGTACTGGAAACAAAAGCGTCTAGACCAGCACATATAATAAACTGGGAAAAGAATTCAGATTGTATACTAAGTTTTACAGATAGAGCCTGAAATGTGACTAATTTCAGGTATTCTTGTGCATTGTGAGCTGGCAAGAATGACCCCTCAATCAACGCTTGAACTATACAGGATACTGTTAGGTGTCATTAGTATTGCAAAAACGCAGACCCATAATATCTGAAGAGGAAATTTCCTGCGATATGTCATGGGCACAACTATTTAATCCAATTGTGATTTGATTTGATCAATGAATAAAGAAAAAAAACTGAAAGCCTGCCAGCTGATGTAGTGATGCCATATAAGTTGTGTTTTAAACCAAAAAAATCAAAGTGGCAAAAAACTCAAATGGCAACAAAAGCTAAATTTACATTTAAGAAAATCTGTTTCAGCTGTTTTTAATTTTACATGTTCAGTATCACTGACAAAATCACATCACTGTTGTTAACATCATTTTCTCTGGTGCCATCCTTTGTTTTGGGCCTTCATACTTTGAAAATGCCATCATAGGTTTGTGGCACACAGGCATTGTGGAATAATCCTGTCTGAGTCTCCTGCCATGAGGGGGCACATGTCCACCGCTTCATTCACTGCATAATTCCAGTAAGTGGATATGGTTGCAGTTAATGGATCAGAGCCTTATCCTGTCTTAAGGATCAAATCCACTTAAAAGCATTTCATTAGACTGGATTTCACTGTCCTATGGTAAAAAATTAAGTTTGCAAAAATAAATAGATAAATATAACTTTCAGTGTCAGGCCTTGACACTATAGGGTGAAACCACTGTTTGGCTGCTAAGGCTTAAAGTAGAGAAGCTACATTCAACACTTTCAAGTCTATTCATTTCCATCAACCAAAAACTGTTATATTTTTATTTGACATTAACCCAGAATCGTCTCCTGAGATTGAAATCTAATCTTCAAGCGACTTCTGTTTAAAATCTGCGCCATATTTCAAAAATCTTTCACAAAATAGCAAAAGGAAGCTTCCACAATGAGCAACGTGCATTTACTTTTGGACTTTACCCTTTTTCAAAGGGGTCTAAATACTCTCTGAAGCCACTGTATATTAAAAGAACTGAACAGTATTGAGTTTCAAATGTTATAAAGTTAAAGGTTCCTTTGATGTCAGACACTGACTTCACACAAATAATACATCCAGAGAGATGTGTGAGAGTGAATACATAGTTCAAAAAGTGTCACTGTTTGTTCGCCACACTGAGGATTGTCAGCTGTTTCATGAAGCCTCTTTGTCTCTCTCTCTGTCCCCCAGCTGATGGGTCTTTGTGTGCTGTGCGTGGGGGTGTACGCTGAAGTGGAAAGGCAGAAGAATCGAACCCTGGAGGGCCTTTTCCTGGCTCCTGCTGTGGTGCTCATCCTGCTGGGCCTGGTGATGTTTACTGTGTCGGTGGTGGGCATGGTCGGATCCCTCCGGGACAACAAGACCCTGCTGCACATGGTAGGGATGATGGAGGAGGAAGAGGAGTGTGTGCAGGTTGTGTTGTGTACATGATATACACTCAGCTGGGAGTTTATTACTTTTAGCTAAAACTAATGTTGTCTAATACAGCAGTCCTGCAATAATGAAGGTTATAAGGTTCATCTTTTATTGAAATAGTTTTAGAGAGGTGTTGATTCAACTGTATGATCGTTTTGGAGAATGTAGTTTGTGCTGCTGTTGAACTGTATTGCAGTATACAGAGAAGTGTTTCTATTATTTAGCCTACTCTCACTGATATTAATGGGGTGGGCACAATAGTAGAAACACCTTTCCATATAATGCAATACAGTTTTACAACACCACAAACTGCAGCCTCCAAAATAAGATTTATTGCAGGACAGTAGTATTGGACAGGATTAGTTTTAGCTAGGTGTACCTCATCAACAGTGTGTGTGTGTGTGTGTGTGTGTGTGTGTGTGTGTGTGTGTGTGTGTGTGTGTGTGTGTGTGTGTGTGTGTGTGTGTGTGTGTGTGTGTGTGACGAACCGTTTTTTTTTGTTTTTTTTGGTTTTTTTTTTTACGGGTAACATTCTGATTAATTATGGTTCTTGTTCCAATTTAAGTTTCACTATTTTAGACAATTTGGGTTGTCAGCCAAAACAGACAAATTATACATTCAAGTGTCTAAACACATAGGTGTTTAAATATATATGTATATACTGTAAAAGTCCTGTACATAAACTTACACATACATCAATCCTGAGAGATAAACGGCGTGTTTAGAGTTTGCACAACAGCAGCAGCTCATAAAACATATAAACCAGTTATCGCTTCGGATGCCTTTTTTTCTCTCCTCAAATGCAAAAAACACAGCTGTTGGTGTTGCCAATAACGGCAACCGAGCTCAAACGGAGCAGGGACATTTTACCACGGTTGCTATGCAACTGTCTAATTAGCTTTAGCTAAATAACGTTAACTGAAAAAGGGGATTAAAAGTTTGACATAAAAAAGGAAGTTAATGATGTCTATGGTTATGCTTTGAAGAAGAGGATGAGGAGCTAATTTTATACCGAGGAAGCGATAAAGTTAATGTTACTCTCTGCGAAACATATAGATAACGTTCCTTCATGTGCTGATATTTGCTTCGCTGCTGTTTGACTAGTTAAATACATTTTTTAACTGAGTTTTCTATTTAAAACCTTGTCAGGAAATATTCCATAAATAAAAGCAGTTTTTTTTGGGGTGTCCCAGTTTTGAGTTTCTGACCCCAATTCCAACCCCATATATATATATAGTATATCAGACAATCTTGTATATACCTAAACCAGCTGCCCAGTGCACACCAAAGCTACAACCTTAAAATGTGACAAGAGAGAACCTAATTCATCCTGAAAGAAATGTTTTTGCTTCTCTACAGAGCAGCAGAGGAAGTGTAATGCAAATTAAATTCAGTACAAGCGAAAGAAGTAAGTGACGCAGTGAAATAACAGGAGTTAATGCTAAAGTTGGCACGCCTTTTTTTCCACAAGGCACTTCATAAATACGGTTCAAAACTATAAAGTTAATAAGCTTCAATTACTCACCTGAATGAAAGTTTAACTGGAATTGATGTGACCCAATCAGCTGATGGTTTTTCCTAGAGAGGACTAATCACTTGTTTGGCCACGAAAACACTCAAGTTTACATCAGGTTTTACAGAGTGGAGGTTCTTCACTCATAAATGATCTTTGGCCAAGCGCTAACACCAGCTTGCAGAGTACAGACAAACCAGACAGCAGCCCGGTTTCATGGTTACATGTCATGAAGTTCTTTGTGGAGTTAGCGTTGATACACTGCTGGATTTGGGCACATTTTATCCACCGCATGGAGACAGTGGTTCTCATAGAAAAGCTTAGGAAAGCAGCTGTGTGCTGCACTTTACTGGAGGGGACAAGTTAACCAGACATACAGTATATCTGCCAAACCAACCAGTTAGTCCTCATTCTTGAAGTCTTTCCTCTTGTGAGACTGATAGATACTGTTTGAAAGTTGCTACCTGAATGTTTAGCACGCTGTGCTTTGCTAATAAGTGTCAGTGTCTGTATTACATTATTAAATCGGTGTATGTTGCCAATCCAGGAATATTTTCACCAAAATATTTTCAGATAAGCACTCTAATTTGCATGCTGCACTGTAGAGTCCAGATGTCAAGCAGCTTTGCAACACTAGAGTAGACAGTAGAGAAGGATAAGCGTCTGATCAGGGTTAATTTAGCTGAAACTGATCCCTGAAAACATGCAGGTCAGGTTAATTAGTGACTAAATGAAGGTAAGTCTAAAAGGTTTTTTGTCTCTGCGTGTCAGCCCTGTGATAGACAGACAACCTGGACAGGCCCCAGCCCTAGACCAGCCTCTAAAGGATAAACAGATATAGTCAGTGGGTGGATGATCAATTAAAATATTCCTGGATCAACTTGAGACATCTCTGTCATTATGTTCTGGTTTGTGTCTTTGATGTGTTGAAAAGGAGTTGCTGTGTCAGTGTCGGTCAGTTCTACAGACACATTTTGGTAAATGACTATGTTAAGTAGTTTCCTGAGTGTGTTGGTTGCTAATTATATACCATGGGGATACTGTATGAATCTCGTCTCCTTCCTCCACAGTTCCTCTGTGTTCTCTGTGTGTTGCTGCTTCTCCAGGCGATCGCACTCACCGCGGCTCTCATCTTTGAAAAGAAGGTGAGTGTACACAGCCTGTACGTTCCTGTATACTACCCCGCCCCTAATGATACCCTCAGCCTCACTTGTCTCACTTTGCTGTACTTTCTGACTGGCATCATGTTTGTCAGCGCTAATAACAGTGACCACCTCTCCTCTGTGTTTCTCCATCTCTCTGTTTTGTCTAGACGTCTGCTTTGTTTCAGAGCAGCATACGAGAAGGAATCAAACACTACTACGATGATCTGGACTTCAAAAACATCTTGGATTATGTGCAGCAAAAGGTTATATGATATTTTATCTAGAGGATGTGGGCCGACAGGAAATTTATTGGGCTGAGATACATAGAGACATATTTATTACATGGGAGGATAGTACTATCTTTAAAATGTGTATACAGGTGCCATGGAAAGATGGTATGATCTGATATTATTGCTATAAACAGAGCTTTAATGTAAACTTCAGTCATTTTTGGTATCCTGTGTTTTGATCCAGCCAGTTCAGCTGCAAATTGATCTTTTCACGTTTTAGAGACAACATGCTTGTTGATCTCAGTATTGATTATCTTAATTATTAAATGTGCAGTGTTTTTCCATTATGCTTACTAGAAAAGCCAACAAAAAAAACTTCCCCTTAAAATCGTTCTGGTACATTATTATTTTATAACTTCTGAAGATCCAACACAGACGAGCACTGTGGGGTAATTTGGCTGTTTTCAAACATGTTAGCTGTTTTGATAGTGTTACGCCTCTGCAGTTTCTTTAATGAGAGAACTTAAAGACACAATGATGGAGACAACCTCCGTCATTTGGCTCTTCTAAAAACAGACTTCAGAAAATCTAGAGGTAGTTTTCAGAACAGCAGAAAGATAAAGTGTTGTGTGCCTGACTCTGTGGATGGATGGTGAAGAGCTGCAGAAACAGTGCAGGGAAAAAAGGTTCATGACAACTTGTTGTGGCATCCTGCAGCTATAAAAGAAAAAAGTGGGTATTTAGCAGTGGCGGCTGCCGGTCTTATAAGGAGGGGAAGCTCATTTTCGGCCTACATCATAAAATGTGTCCGTTTATTTATATGTAAATTCGCAGAGTGACAGAAGAGAGTCACCAAACACAACGCTAGTTGTTTTTAACAAAGACGAAGTCACTGAGGACCAGTAACGTCTCCAGATCAACTCCGAACAACGGAATGAAAAACTTGAAAAATGCTCCGGTGGATGCTTATACTTCAAGATCGCTGATTTGCTCATTTCGCTGTCAATCAAAAAGGGACTCAGCCTCAGACAGATCATCCAATCATCATGCAGAAGCCGAGCGTCCGGGCCAGCCCACTGCCCCATAGACCCCCAGAGACGCTCAGCGTCCGATGGGCGGGACAAAGCCCAGCATTTATCCAATGAGCGTCTAGTTTCGCTGCAGTGGAACAACCCACTCTATGCTTCCCCATTGAAGTCAGTAGACGCTCGGCGTCTACACTGTAAAGCACTGTGGCGCTGCGGGGATGAATGAGAAGGAAGTCATGTCGGTTACCTGTGATAAGTAGCTGATTCTGAACAAAAGATGAACCTGTTCTAGCGCATATTTAGTCAATGAAATGTACACACAACAGTACATATTTGACCACTTATTTTGTTGACATTTTAGGGGAAGCTGAGCTTCCCTTGCAGTCTTAGAGCAATCGCCACTGGTATTTAGGAAATGTTTCTTTTGGTCTCTGTTTGAGATAAAGATCTAATCTGTGCTATAACAGTAGAACTTAAATTAGTATCAGCTCTACTGAAGGATAAACAGTCCAGGTTCATCCTCTTTATTTATTGCACTTCAAAATGAATGGCTGTAATGGATATTTGATGTTTGACTCTGAGCTCTGAAAATATTCTCTTGCCTCTCGTCTTCAATCATTTTCACAGTTTGAAAGCTTTCTATTCAGGAATCCACGCTGTTTTTTCATCCCCTGCATCAAGAGCAGAGGGCAATAAATCCTGCCTCCTAGCTCATGTGCGTCCGTTCTTTTTTCTATTTTCCCTGCTTGTAAAAATGTCTTACCTGCACAGCCAGTTTGGTGCCTGGTAGAATGACGTGCAGCCGCGGTCAGGCGATCACAAAGATGGAGGTGTCCTTCATCGTTTAGGAAAGCTCTCAACACGTTGGACACTTGATTGAGTTTTCTCTGCAAAGTACTTTCAAATGACAGCCTTTAATTGATTGTCAGAACCGCTGCAGTCTTCACATGAACACCTGTTTTCCACTGCAGACACTGACTTCAGTTTTCTGAAGAGCTGGATGTACAGAAAGATAATTAGTCTGCCTGTGTGGGGGGAGGACTGAGGGGGGAACAGGTGTGGATTGTACTCAGTGTAACTCAGTGGGGTTTTTCATTTGAAGAGATCTGAAAAGAGTTGAGCTTGTGCTCATGTTAATTTGTTTTCATGCTTGGTTCCTAATCGCCGTGCTTCTCTTACTGTTTTGTTTTCCAGTTTTCTTGTTGTGGAGGGGATGAGTATAAAGACTGGGGGGTCAACCAGTACCATTTCTGCAATGGCACTGGTCCACTGGCCTGTGGGGTTCCATACACTTGCTGTGTTCGCCGCAAGGTGAGTGCTGGTAACACACATGGAGCAAACAGACCTTCACATGCCTTTTAGCTCAGGTGTAGTCTGACTCATGTTCAAACAGACTTAATACAAACAAACCGAGAGGACTGACAGGCAACTCACTGATTGGACAGTCTTTAGCACTATACATGAACCCATCAGGAAGTCAGATTCCTGGGACTGACAGTAGGTTATGCTGCACATTACTGCACCGCATGTCTTTATTTGTCTTCTCCGGTGTTAACATTTCTGGAGGGAGTAGTTTTTGCTTTTATTGGGGAACTGCTTCAATGCAGAGTTGAACACACACTTAAACAAACATTTGTTTTAAATGAAATCAGTGCATGTTTAGTTTCTTGGAAGGCCATAATCAGACTGAAAACATGCACCAAGCTGACTGTAAAAAGATTAAAGTTGTGACTCTCTCTATTTGTGCAGACTTTTGATTTCTACTCTAAGATGAGTAACCACTTCAACCAGTTAATGAGCGAGTATTGATACCATGTGATCCCAGTATCAGCCTGCTGCAGACATCCATCCTGTTAGATAATCCCAGGCCCTCCTGACAGATGGTTCAGATCCAGAAACTAGCCACTGACTTCGTGATGACTTCTGCTTTATGACAATGAAAGGAATACTTTTTATTCACACTACAGAGACATAATTCATTGTGAGAGAGGTGGCTCATCCAGCTAACAGGAGATGTGCTGCAATTCTTAGGTATATAGCCTTTGGGAGATTTCTCTCTTTAAATAAAGTGTTGGTCCCTCGTGGCCCCCCGCCACTCTCCATATGCCCCGTATCACTCCCCACGTCCCTCGGCTCAAAGCACTGATACGGTCTCTGGAAGCAGTGGAGCTGAAATGGAGAAATTAACTACAGAACCATCCCGTACTCACACACACATACACCAGAGATAGAGGGCTTGATTAGAAAAGCTGAACGTTGGCTAGGTTTCTGCTGTTATCAGTTCCTACCTGTCAGGACTGAAGCCATTTTGTAAATGCTTAAGTTCATGCTCTGGCTGGCAGGGGCCAGGTATACCTGCCTGTGAGGAGCATTACTTCCAGAAAGGTCCCCATGGTGTTTCCCCTGGCCACCTTAGGTGTCTGACTCTAAATCTTGACTCTTTGCACAGATGGGAGAGGTCATCAACACTCTATGTGGTTACAGGACTCTGGATAAACAGGTAAGAGGAACTCCTGGTTATTGTACAGATTTAGTCCTTTGGCATTTGTATCTCTGAGTCCCAACACAACACAGCACAGATGCAGTGGAGGTTATGATAACATTTTTGGACCTCCAACCAAACCATTCATTTGTTGATGTTATACTCACTGAGTAGAATGGATCATTTCTGGTGTTACAACATGAGTTCCTATTGATTTTTTTTTCATCAAATCTTCATGATTATTATGTTTAACTTTGCTCTTATTTCATATTTAATCACATTGACTTATGTTGTAGTAATAAAAAATACAGTTTCATGATGTGAATCTTATATCCAAATTATGACACATGACATGACGTCTAACCCCCAACACTTTGTAGATCAAATAACCATGCAAATGTGTTTACAAGTCAATGCACTTTCATCATATTGATGCAAAATCCAATAAAAAGAGTGAAAATGGTGAGAAAACAAAATCCAAACAGTAATCTATATTGATGATACAAAATAACCTCAAATAAATGTGTAGTTTAGTATCATTATATAATAGTAGCAATAATATATAATAACAATAATAATAGTTTCAGAGTCCTCATCTCTGAAGCCTTCTCACTCGTCAAAGTTAACCATGACATTAAAGGAGCAGTGTGTAGGATTTAGTGGCATCTAGCGGTGAGGCTGCAGATTGCAACCAACTGAATACACCTCCCACCACCCCTCCCTTTCCAAGTGTGAAAGAGAAACTATGGTGGATCCTCAGATAACGTAAAAATGTGAAAGAGCCAGTGTTTGGTTTTTTCCGTTCTGGGCTGCCGTAGAAACATGGCGGACTCCCTCTAAGCCAACAAAACACAACAAATCTTAATTTCAGGTGATTATACACTAATGAAAAATATTTATGAATATTATATTGCATTTTTGCCGTTAGTTCCCCTAAATTCTGCACACTTTTCACCCACATATAGCTTGTTAGTCAGTCACACATTCACACACTCTTGTGTCACTCTCTGTAAGTAGTTATGAAGATTTTCTTTCTGGCAGTAAGTAATTTCAAGCATTTTCAAGCTGTATAAGTTCCGCTGTGACACCGGTAATTCTTGGCAGTTCGACAGCTCATTTGGTCCCGGTCTGTTTTTGTTTTTCTTCAGGTGACACTTTTTTTATTTTTCAGTTTGAGGCTGTTATAGTTTGAGTCCAAAACTGAAAACTTTCCTCTTGTTGTCTCCCTCTGGCCTCAGTATCAGCGTGAAAACCTTCATGAGTTGATCCACGTGCGAGGCTGCATCCATGCAGTCAACCTCTGGATGAGTGACAACATTGGAATAACCATTGCATTCTGCTGTGCCATTGGGCTGCCACAGGTAATTTAAAACTCGACCCGATTCACTGAAATCCAGCTGCCCTAAAAGCCCTCTCTCCAACCACTTTCCAACTTAGGCATAATATTTTAACTGTAGATTTCCCACTTCCTGTGGAAGACTAATTCACATTTTCATTATTTACACATTGCAGATTTTTAGCACAGAATGAATTGATTGTGGTGTAACTTTAACTTTTCAAAAACTTGCTTCACTGACTCAGTTTGTGACAGTTTGTTTACTTCATACTTTCATTTGGTAAATCTGAGTTTGTCTACTATACATTACAATGTCCACAAATCTAAATCACAAATGTAGACGTGTTGCAGCCCCCTCAGAGAGGGGTAATTACTATAATTACTTTTCTAAAACGGCTGCATAAACAGCATCAGTTCTCTCCAGCGCTACTCCTCCAGAATAAATTGTAGCTCATACAAGCTGCAAGAAAATTTTGGTCCAATTAAAAACAAGCACCTACTGCAGGAACATCATGAATTGTTTGCTGTTGGGTTGTTGTGGCTTGTGCACACTTGAGTCTGATTTCTTGTAAATATGTGTTCCTATACACAAACAGCAGCGTGACTGTTGGGGATATTGGGTTACTGCGGACCGTGTAAAAGCTTGACTCAGAATATAACTTTTATCAGGTTATTCAACGTTGCAGAGTCAGATTAAATCTGAGACCTTATCTCTCATTGAAACTTGATCTAAATGCCAAGATCCTGAGACAGAAGAGGTGTCACTCTGTTGGAGTTGTTGGGACTAAAAATACACTCAGTCCCTTTGTGATTGCACAGAGAGCACAAAAACACAACAACACCCAAGTTAATTGCTTTGCTCAGGGGCTTAACGTTAGCAAACTCATGGAATTAGTGTTAATTAGCGACAGTTGAAACAACCTCATGTTGGTAACAACCTGTGAATGCTCCTGGTATTGATCCATTAAGGGACTGTCTCAGGACATCTCTAACTGTTATATGCAGCAAATGCCATAGATTTCATAGGGATGGCTGTTGTTCAGGGTGTCAGCCCCTCACTAAATTGATCACAAGACAAGATTGCATTGATCTGCAGGGATTACCACCTGTGCCACCTGTGCTGTTAGACTTCCCATCTCATATCTTTTTGAATGATATAATGATATGAAATGGGAGCTGCCTAAATAACAGAAGGACTCTATAGGTTTGTTTCTCAGATATCATGTTTTTTCTGTCAGGTTGGCATGGCTCACTACCCATGAGCCTTTGCTGCCAAATTCAAAGTGCTTTGTTGTTGCAGTTATGAATAAAACACGGTGCTATCGTAGCAGAATTCATCCAAACTTGAACCGATCAGAAGAAACTGATTCAAGCTGCAGATTGTGAGTTCACTTTTCTGAACAGTGTAATCTGTTGCTTTCACACGGCATTGTGGCACATGCATAAAAATTTCAACCACAGTGGTCAGATGTTTCTTGCAGAAATGCACACTGGGTGTTGTAGTTAACTTCTCACTTTATGTTTTAATGCACACATGTTTGTACCACCTACTTTTTGACAAAGAACCAGATATGCAGAATGCTGCTGCAGATTTTTTTTTTGTACTAATGACTCACCCAGGAGAGTTTCGTGTCATCCAAAGTGTCACATAACTGCCTGTGGAGAAATGAATTAGATTTTTACTTTTAGCACAAGAGGTGCCCAAAATAACTATTTCAAAACTCCCATTTCTGTAAAGTAGAAAAAGTTTTGGATCAGCACCAGTATCTGTACATTATCTTGTGGTGCTTGTTTTCCCTGCACATACTTGTTGTCTTGATGGCTGGGTGATCTAAGGCCAAGTGCTGAAATGATTGATTGGTTAATAAATTAGCCAGTGACAAAAAATTAATCGATGCCAAATTGTCATAATTGAAAAGACATTAAAGTCATTTATCCTTTTTTTTTTTTTTTTTTTTTTTTTTTTTTTTTTTACATTTCTTGAGTTAAATGAATTTATCAATGAAACTAATTATAGATTGACCTTGCGTTTATATGAAGATGTCCCCATGTCTCCCTGCAGCTGCTGGGCATCATCCTGAGCTGCGTCTTCTGGAACCTGCTGGTGGACATGAGCGAGTCGGCTGACATGGTGGACTTCAAGCTGAAGAAGTCCGAGTTTGAGTACAGTGAGCTGGACCTGGCCGGCGCCGGCTGGTGTATGTGTCTACCGAGGGATGGCGGCTACCTGCCTGTCCCTGCCTCTGAGCCCGACCTTGACCCCATTGACATTCACCTGGAGAAGCTCAAGAAGCAGCCACCTCGCACACACTCTCAGCTGCGAGAACTGCAGCAGTCCAGATCGGCCACTGGGCTGGACGAGGTAGACGTTGGCAGGAAGCAGAAAAGGGAACACTGAGTGGTCTTTTTGCCCTTTCTTGCCTTTTGGGTTTTTGCCTTTTTTTCTGTCATTGTATTAATTGCATTTGTTGGAGTTGTGTTGCACTACTTGATGGTTGAACATGTCAGTCATTGGATCAAGAGAAATTTGGTCAGCTAAAGGGATCAAAAGTACTTTGGCACTTTGTTGATGAATTTGTTTACAGCAAAATTTAAAGGAACAACATGCGACACTGGCTTTTTTAAGAACATTTCATTTGTCTTGTTTGTGACGGTTCATAATCAAAGATTTATAGCATTATATCACTTTTAATTTAATTTTTTTAGCCTTTGAAATTGAGCTATGTCTCACGTGCTAAAGCTTACCTCAGGCTGTTTTGACAATAGCCCAGTAGTCAGAGGACGGTACTATTTGGTGTGTAAATTAATGGTAGCTTAAAAAGATGTTTTTCAGTGTCGGAGAAATAGGAATAGCCAAGTATGTCTTGCGTGTAACGTCTGTGACGGATGTATTCAGTTTGTGTATTATTTCTTTTTGTTATGATTTTAATTTGAGTTTGTGCAATCAGTGTAAATTGTAAGACTGATAGTTGTGGAATAACATGGGATGCATGTTTTGTACTGTATATGAAGTAAATTAAATAAAAGGAAAAAAAAAAAAAGAAAAGGAAAAAACTGTTTACATGTTAGGCTCTCATCAGGGGGACTTCAGTCTGTTCCATTTTTAAACTAAACTTTTTATTCCTTCCATCTTTTAAAGAAACAACTACAAGGATTATCAAGACTACAAATTCAGTAAAAAGCTACTCTGATGGTTTTTTGTATCTGAGTTATGCACTGTTTTGAGCTTCCCCCTAGCTCCTGCCTTGTAACAGCACAACTGTTCTTGTCAATAAAGCTGAATTTGTCTACTGATTTTTGCCATGTGTTCCTGCTTTGCATGTAAATATAATATATATATAATATAACAGCAGGACCCAAGGTTTCCCAGCGTAACCTTGCCCAAAGCATCACACTGCCTCCGCCAGCTTTCCTTCTTCCCATAGTGCATCCTGGTGCCATCTCTTCCCCAGGTGAGCGACGCACGCACACCTGCCTGTCCACACGATGTTAAAGAAAATGCGATTCATCAGACCAGGCTACCTTCTTCCATTGGTCCGTGGTCCCTGACCCCATCCACAGCAGCATGTCCCACAACATCCGTGCTGGTGCTCTTGTCTGTTTCTCCAAACTGGGAGCACACCAATCTGAATCTACTGCAGGTAATACACTGACTATATATATACCTCATACAACCTCACGTCACATAACCAGAACTATCACTTTAAGGCAGGTATCCGGGAAACCAAAGGTTCACCAACCTGGTTCAATCAGGAAGCCAAGAGCATCACTGCATAAATGTAAATAGGAGACTTAAACACTTGTTACATGCTTGGGCAGACTCAGACTCCTTCCAGCAGGGCATAGTGAGAAGATCTGATCCAGCCTTGAACCACAAAAACTGTTCAAAGTAGAATTATAACTACCTCTGTTAGCACAGGATGCAGAGCTTCAAATGGCCATTCACCATACAAGAGTGGATGTTTGTTTTTGTCATTTCTCACCAACATTTATTCACTTTTGCCTTTTAAATTTACGAGAGAACAGTACTGAAACTCAGAGGTACTTCTTCAAACTTCATAGTTCTGGTAAAGACACAGTTAAAGTTTGAATGTTTTTGTTTTTTTCTTGCTGAAAGTTACATGAGTAAACTGATATTATTTCTTGACCAGGAACAGTTGCCAGGCAACCACTGGAGACTCCAGGGAGAAATAGTCCAGCATTTAACCCCCTGTGAAACTGCAATTTGCCTTTTCAACACTTTGGTTTTTGTATGGATTAAACAAGCTACATTCAGCGTGTTTATTAGTGAGCTTCAGTGGTATTGGTAAGCAGATTGTGTATGTGCCAGCTGTTTCCCCCTGTTTATGCTAAGCTAAGCTAACCTGTGGATCTGTGGACTTTACTGAAGAGGGACCAACATGTGCTTTGGGCTTTTCAAGGTGGGCGTAGGTGCCATGCCGCAGCATCAAAACAGTATCATCAACCCCCCTTTGTTTTTTTATATGCAAACTGGACAGGCTCACTGTGCACATCTACTTCCTTCTGTAACTGGGACAGAACAAGCCTCTCATAGCTTTTCATTACCAGAGGTGTTAAGATGGTCGGTAGTTGTTATCACAGGTGTGGTTGCTTTCCTTCACTACTGGACAAATAATAGAGGATTTCCACATTGGAGCGACTGAGTCTGTGTCTTGCCCAACACTATTCACTAAGTTATTTTGCAGCTCAGTGATGAACTGTCTCTTTAGTTTCAATACTATTCCCTCAAACTCAAAGTTTTAGAAAGAATTTAGACCCCTTCATTTTTGCACACTTTATTTGTCATAGATTTCATTTTTAATGGATACATTTTTTGCCTATTATTTTACACTCAATAACCCATAATGGCAAAGTGAAAACATTTAAAGAAAAAATCTCATTTAGAGAAAATCAAAAATTCTCTCACTGTCTCAATTACAAACCTATTTAGACCATTTGCTGTGGAACTAAACTGTGGTCAGGTGTGTCCTGTTTGCGTTAATTATCCTTGAGATGTGTATAGAATTTGACTGGAGTCCACCTGTGGCAAATTGAACTGATTGGACAGAGTTTAGAAATGCAGACGATGTGTATATGAGGTCCTACAATTTACACTGCATGTCAGGACAAAAAGCTAACTCTCTGCAGACCTCTGAGATAGACATGACACAGATCAGCGGAAGGGTAAAAAAGGAAAGACACAAATTAGCATGGGAGCCTTAGACACTGATGGTGGAGGGGTAAAGTTGTGACAGACTGCAATGACAGTAGAGAGAGACAACAAAGATGGGGTGGTTTAAATGTTCTTGAGCTAAGAGGATCAGTGGATGATAGGAGCGCCTGTCTTCCTGCTTGAATTTGTACTAAAAGCCTCATTTCTAAAGCTTTGAGTGTTCCCAGGAGCACAGTGACCTCAATTATTGTGAAATGGAAGAAGTTTGGAACCAACAGGACTCCTCTTACAGGAGAGTCAATCTGAATAACCGGACAAGAGGGGCCTTGGTGACCAAGAACCTAACAGTCACTGTAACAAAGCTTCAAAATATCCTCTGCAGAGATGGGAGAACCTGGATGGAGGACCACTCCATCAGTCAGGCCTCTATGGCAGAGTGGCTAGACACAAGCCACTTTGAGTAAAAGCTTGGAATTTGCCAGATGATATTCAAAGGACTCTGAGAGCATGAGGAAAAAGATTCTCTGAATCTCTGAGACGAACACCCCAAACACTAAAACTGGCAAACACCAGACTCTGCTCATCACCTGGCTAATACCATCGCTACAGTGACGCACAATGGTGGCAGCATCATTCTGTGGGAATGATTCTCAGTGGCAGGGACAGGGAAACTGGTCTGAATTGAGGAAAGAATGGATGCAGCCAAATATCAGAGAGGTCCTTAAAGAAACCAGCTCCAGAGTCCACATGACCAGAGACTGAGGTAACCTTTCAGCACGACAATGGCCTGAAGCGTAAAGTCAAGGCAAAGCTGGAGAGGCTTCAGGAGTGTCTTTGAGTGACATTGACAGCGTGGCATTTGTGGCAATCGGACAGATTTTTAATGAGAAGACCTAACCTTTCCAACAACTTTCCAACAACAAAATTCAGTTTGGCCTTTCAGATTGTTCTTTTTTTTTTTTTTTTTTTAACATATGCTCAAATATCATCAGTTATACAAAAGAAATGTTAAGACACAGCTGTGTCAGCCTCATGTTCGGAGTGGGATCAGCTTTTAAAGAAGACAACCCAAACAGGAGGTGTTGCCTCAAACATTTATAGTCTAATGTTTAGGGCTGTTAATGCCCACTCTTCTGTGCAGCTGGATTGGGAACATGACCTGAATATATCCTTGACTGCCTCTCAGTGGAACACAATCTGGAGATCAGCTATGAGCTCTTCTAAATGTGTGAGATACACAATTATACAATATTGTAGCAGGATGAGCACTTTCCCTTTGCTCTACTCCTGGTGTGGTTCCGTCCCTTTAATTGAGCCCCATCGTATATAAGAGGGAGGGACCCTTAGTGCTGCCCTTTCTCTGGCAGCCGGTGCACACTTCCCCTTTCCGGGTTACCTGGTCTCAGGTGCTGCAGACGCTCTGCACTCCTCTCTCCTCCACTGTTGCGTATTTCACATCCGACAGCGCAGACACTGGCAGTGTCTAAAATGTTTGTTGGCTCCCTCCCTCCCTCTCCTCTTGGTGCCTCAACCACACAACGCTGACGGGACATGTACATGTTTGTTGTGGCCCTCATCAGCTATAGCCATCCAGTTCCTAATTTTACTGTGCTCACTTTACAGATAGGGTTAGGGTTAGGCACGAGCCTTTTTTTTTTCTTTTCATATGGTTTCATGCTCCACTAACTGTTCCTCTCCGTCTGCTTACTTCCAGGTGCTGAGGGCCTCACGGGTGACCTGCCCCTCTATTTTGGTGATGGTGTCCTATTGTGTGTAGTGTCCTTCCACCCCTTTTTGGCTTTGCCCTTGTGTGTGTGCTTAGTGTTTTACATGTGGACTGTGGTGCTCCCATTTTAGTTGACGCCTTCACTCCCCCCTCACTCACCTTAACCATAGCGGCCCCAGCCCTGGAGGAAGCCCTGTTCTTATCTTGGTATTAAGTAAAAAGACTTTATTTTAGTTTTGGAAACACGTCTCCTGCCTGCTCAGTAAAACAAACTTGTGTTGTCCTTGGTTTAGAATATTTAGTTTATTGCTTTATTCACACATTTCCTTTTTTTTCTTTTTTTTTTTTTTTTCCCAGGGTTAAACCCCGGGGGGGTGTTGTTGGTTTTTGTTTTTTTGTTTTTTTGTTTTTTGTTTTTTTTTTAGTTAAACTATAATTTAAGTACTCCCTCGCATGCCACAATATAAAATTTTAAACAGAGCATATACTGTATTACACCTGTTAGATTATCCAAGATGGATGACAAAAGCCTAGATGTATGCTGGGACAACTGTGGCAATCAAGGTTCATTACTCCAGTAAGTCTGGGACTGTCCAGCTATTATTATGATAAAGAAAAAACCAAACTACTGAATTAAGGGTCTGAATACTTTTGTAAATTTAGAAATTTTTAATGTGTACAACACAATAAAATCTGCAAAAAAAGAAAGCACCTGAATGCTTTCTGAAGTCACTGTATATTACAGTAACAAAAACTATGGTTTGTAAGCCCACCTTGAAATGGTGATTAGCCCTTTAGCTTTGCATCCTGGGCTGGGAGAAGAAGCTACACACCTGGCTGTATTTATAACTGCATCTGCAAATGTGTTTACAAAAGTTGATCTCCATCTTCCCCTGTATCCCTCCTCCCCTGTTTCACACACTGCCTTCTTAGAGCGTTCTCTCTCTATGGCTGAGATACACCACCAGCCATATTAATTCAATCCACGAGCAGCCCATTAATGCACACAGCTCTCTCTCCTCTTGCAGGTCATCTTTCCTCATTCACTTCTCACCTCTCTTCCTCCCTCATCATGATGATCAAGAGACAGTGGGTGGAATAATGAGGAGATGAATTGCGTCAGCTGAAAAAAATCTTGACGGCCTGAGTGCAGGATGTGCGCATACAAACAAGCCGTTATTATGATAATTTGGACATGTGTTTTTTTTTGCAGTTACAATCAGGAGAGGAAACACACACAGACAACAGCCTCTGGTATTTGCAGACTCAGTATCAGTATCACTTGTTGCAATCAGCACATGAATTGAGCTCAGATTATAAATGCAATTTCCAGGATTCTTGGAAAATGACTATAATCACACCAGTCATCACAGCAGCCAGC